CTTACTATATATATATATATATATATATATATACATATATATATATATATACACGTATGTATACCTGTCCTGGCACGTGATGATAATATCCTATACCAGTTGCCGATTGAATCGTGGTTTCGGAATGTTGAACCGGTGCTTTCGATGGCGGTGGTTTCCCCGTTATTTTATTTACAAGCATCGAATAAGCACAATCCGCCGATGGTTTGTATTGTATGCTCGGTATACTGGGAGCCTGTAATACCGACCGATTCGAATCGAGATGAATTATTATGTAGGAAGAGGTTTTCGTTTCAGAACACACAAATTCGGAATACACACCGCCTCGATCTTGGTGAACGATGAAGCCAAGCTCGGATGAAGATACGGTTCGTCGTCTTGATCGGATGATCCTTCTTCTTGCTCTATCATTGAAAATAATACAAGTTTTAACGGGACGTTCAGGTGTATACAAGTTTACTAAGTGATTCCTATGTGTTACAACAAGGTTAATACGGATCAACAAATATAACGTGGAAGTACTTACGGATGGAAAAGCTAAGTAGAATCAAAGTAGATGTGGGTAAATAAATCCTGCTTTAACTCTCTTCGATTATTTTAACACGACAATAACAATTTGAAAATGTTCCGATTAGATGTGAGAGATTCTTTTAAAAGTAAAAAAAAAAAAAACAATATGCGTACCGGATTCTTCTTTCTCCGGCTGTTTTTCGGGATTATATTTCCCACTCTTGATCGCGTCCAGTATACATCTATAATATTGATGAAGCCGTCCGTCTATCGACAGGAAGGAAAATTGTGGATTATTCGCCTGCTTCGCCTTAATCAGAATCTCCATTTGTCCACCTTGACGACTTATAAACAACGCCGTTTTTGTTATGATGGCGTTCAGTTTTTGCGTTTCCGGCTATTTCGTGCAATGAAAAAATGAAAAATAAATATCGTATACATTGATACACTCGATATATATATATATATATATATACATATATTTACAAGTTGCGTAATAAAATTTTCTCGACAAACAAATATCTTGTTTGTGATCATATGATCATCATTCTATATTTTTTTTTTTTATTTATTGTTACCAACCAATGGAATGCCTTCTGGAATTTCTAGATCGGCCGGTGGAACGAAAGCTTGATCCTCTTCTTGAGATCCCTCCGATCGTTTTGGACTTTGCGAATCGTCACACGCGATTTTTGACCCGTTTCCTTCCTCGTTGTAATCGTACGCCACTTGACTGTACGTATTCTCAGAGTCCAAAGCTTGATGCAATCGTTTCATCTCTTCCTCTGTAAAACGAGACGACAATAAAGTAATATCCTCGTAATATTTCGCCTATATTTCTTCGATTTTTAAATTTCATTCTATCAACGAATAATCTCGAATATATATACATTATCTCTATATATGCCTACCGTGATAAACGGAATCTTCCATTTCGTTGTTATAGAGAGACCGATACCGTTCTTCGTCGCATAATTGTTCCACTTTTATTTCATCTTCCGTCAAGATGGTTCGTTGATCGAACCCACCTGTCGGTGGTTCGTATATCCGCAAGTCCCCCAGAGCACCGCGTCCATCGTATCTATACACATACATAAATCAATTTAAAGGTAGAAGGGATGGTATGCGTTTCGGAGAATTTGCCCGATTGCGGCATCTGGAAATTAATGTCACGAAGCGAACCCTGCTTGAGTCAAAGTCAAAATTTCTCTGAAATAGAATACAATTATACCATACTCGATCACATTATTTTTTTTTCTTTTTCTTTTTTTTTTTTCTTTTTACATTCATCTATTCCGTCTATCTCGCGTTTTCTCTCTTTTATATCATCGATTTGAAAATCAACGATTTAAAAATTGCGATGCGAATTGCAAATATCATAACAAAATCATAACAACGGCGATAATTGTTAATCGATCCATTAATCGTTCTCTACCCTGTCACGAATAGTCGATAGAAATTTTTCTTAACCGATCTCACGAAACGCGTATATCGTTTTTCGAATTCTCGCGTTTTCGAATTCGATCAACGACCGAAATCTTACACGTACGACCGTTTTCTACCTAATTTCACGATGATCGTTCAATTTTGGTAACGGATCCAGAAGCGGTAACGAACAACAGGAAACGCGTTCTGCGTTGTACATCATTATGTACATTATTATGTACCGATACGCCCGATTCTAGAACGCTAAAATACATACCATGCTGAACGATTGTAGTACACCTACAATCGTCAGCTGCCGATTGTCTCTCTACGCTGTGTCTCACCTTGCTGCTGCGCCGACGGTCAGCCACAAACACCAACGTCACGAGAGCACGTTGCTCTACGGCCGTGTAGAGCGCGTATATACCGCGCTTCCACACCGCCTGTTCAAGCAGCCAAGACACCTGCAGAAACCTTAAACAGTCTCCAAATTGCTTATCCACGTACGTAAACCATTTTTATGCTTGAATTTTCCCAAATTGCTGCATTTCGTTTAGCTTCGTTAATTAATCGTTCTTCTAAAGGTTATATGTACGGTGCATTTATGTAAGAATAAATATCCTAGATGATAAATTTGTCTAGGTTAGGGAAACGGACCTGTCTATTTTCAACGTGCTATCGCCCATCCATGGTATCAAATGCTTTCCTTGATCAATCATTTTCGCCTTGTCATCATCTCGAAATAATTTGCAGCTATATCCAAACACCAACAGCTCCTGTGGCTCCTCTTCTCCATTTCTTTTACGCAGAATGCCCGAATCTACCATCCAACGCTGACTTTTCGATGTCGCCATTTTCCATCCACTGATACTACTCGAGTTTGCGTTCCACCTTATATACATGTAAGTGTATATGTTCAAGAGATGGCCAATAGAATTAAAGTTGGCTGCGAAACGCTACCAATACTGTGCCGATAATTTACATCTCTTCGAAACACGGGATATTAACCAATCTCCACGATTTTCTTTTTATTTTTATTATTTATCGACAAATGGAATGGATGGAAAAAAATATATCGACTCAAATTTGTTGATAATTTGATGACGTAATCAAATCGATCGACCATAATAAAATAATCATTTACTAGTAATATTTTATCGAACTAAAATATTACGAATATTAAGAATATTATAATATTATAATATTACAATATCTTCCAAGTTTTCGTTCCATTCACAAAAATGTAAATTTTTATACTCGATGATTCTTTTGTATAATCTACGCCTTATCTATCCTTATATAACGATATATATATATATATATATATATATATATATATATATATATATATACGTTA